AGTCATTCAATAGCACCATTATTCCATTGCTATATAGACACCATGGTTTGCTGATCCATTCACTTCCTTATGGACATTTGCATTATTTTCAGTTTGGGGCTGTCAAAAATGAAGCTGTTTTCAATATTAGTGTTGAAGTCTTTGTGTTGGCATATGTTTTCATTTCTCCTGGGTATTAAATAACCTAGGAGTAGAACAGCTGGGCTATAGGTATCTACAGAAGGTTTGTGTTTAACTTTTGAAGGAACTTCCAGACAACTTTCTAAACTAATTGTATATTTTGCATTCTCATCAGAAGTATATGAGAGTCCTAGATGCCCTATTCCTATGCCAAATGATGTGATCCGTTGTTTTCTATTGTAGCCGTTCTAGTGGATGTGTCCTTGTATCATGATTTTAATTTACATTTCCCTAGTAACTAATGTAGTTGAGCATCTTTTCATATGTTTGCCACCCATCATATTTGGTTAGATGTCAATTCAAATATTTCTCATGATTTTTAATTGGGTTGTTTGCTTTATCAACTAATTTTAGGTTTTACTATAGCACTATAATAATAGTGTACAAAAATATAATTGCCTTAGTGCATTGACTTTCTATTCTGCAAATTTGCTGAATTATTATTAGTTCCTATAGCTTTTCTTTTTGTAGATTCTTCAGATAATCATGTCATCTCTGAATAAACACAACTGGCTTCTTGCTTTTTGGTGTGGATAGATATATTTCTTTTTCTTGTTTTATTGCCTTGTATGGATTTCCAGTACAATGTAGAATAGAGATGCTGAGAGTGGGCATCCTTCGGTGTTCCTTATCTTAAAGAGAAAACAGTGTGACTTTTACCATAAAGTGTGTTTTTAGCTGTAGGTTCTTCTGTAGAATGCCCTTCGTTAAGTTGTGAAAAATCCTTTCTAGGTTGAATTTTCTAGGAGTTTTTGGCATGTTTCTTGTTGCATTGGGTCATTTTTCTTTGTTGTTGTATTAATATAACATTTTATCAATTGTATTGATACTCTAATATGTCAATTAAAATATCAACATTCTAATAACATTGTACTTCTAACCAGTTTTCATATTATTGGATTCAATTCAACAACATTTTGCTGGGAATTTTTGCACCCATGTTTGTAAAGGGATATTTGTCTATAGTTTTTCTTCCCTTTAATGTCTTTTTTTTTTCTGGGTTTAGTATCAGGATAGCACTGTTTTCATAGAGTGAGATGAGAAGTTCCCTCAGCCTGTCAATTTTCTAGAAGAATTTGTGTAGACTTGGTATAAATATTCCTTAAATGTTTCATAAAATTCTCCAGTGAAGTCATTTGGGCATGGTGTTTCCTTTGTGAGAAGAATTTTAATTACAATTTCATAGTAGTTATGGGTCTCTTCATATATTCATTTCACCAATATATGTGAGTGAGCTTTGATAGTTATCTTCTTTCAATATGTTGACTGCATTTAAGTCAATGACATTTTTTAACATAAAGTTATTATACCATTATTATGTATATAGGACTGTTACACTGTATCCTCTTTCATTTCTGACATTGGCCATTTGTATCTTTAATTTTTTCTTGATCAATGTAGCAGTAGATTTATCAATTTTATTGGTATTTTCAATGAACCAGCTATTGATTTAATTGATTCTTAATTATTTTATTGATTTCTGATCTTGTCCTATTTTCTCATGGTAATATTTCTTGCTCAGGAATATTATTTTCAATGGCAATATTCCTTGATCAAAATCTACTACGAATATAGCCATTCCAACTTTGTTTAATTAATTCTTCTATAGGATATTCTTTCCCATATTTTTACTTCTAACTTATTTATTTATATGAAGCCAGTTTCTTTTAGACAACATACAATGGTAGCTTAAAAAATTTCAGTCTAATATCTCTGCCTTTTTAATTGGTATGTGTATATCATTTACATTTGATGTGGTTATTCATATGGTTGGGTTTAAATCTACCATTTGATATTTGTTTTCTGTTTGCCTATTATTCCTTTCCTCTCTCTTTTTCTGCTTTCCTTTGGATAGAGTATTTTTATTATTACATTTTTATGGATTTAATTTTAGTTTTAGTTTTTCTTCTGATTATTTAGATAAAATATATATCATTTTCTTCTTCCAATCTGCTTTCAAGTGATTTATACTCCCTCTATTCTTTTTCATCTTCTGACCTCTGTTCTAGACATCATGTATTTTTACATATACTATAACCCCCAATTTGTTGTTGTTATTTTTTCTTTAAACTGTCAATTATCTTTTTGGGGAGGGTACCAGGGATTCAATCCAGGGGCAGCCTTTTTTTTTTTTTTTTGTATTTTATTTAGAAACAGAGTCTCACTGAGTTGCTTAGTACCTTGCTGTTGCTGAGGCTGGCTTTGAACTCACAATCCTGCTTCAGCCTCCTCCAGAGCGGCTGGGATTACAGGTGTGTGTCACCACGCCCAGCTTGCCAATTACCTTTTAAAGAGTCTTGGAAAAAGAAGCAAAAGTTTCTAATGTATGTTTCCATAATTTATTCTCAGTGCTCTTCATTACTCTTTGTTTATCCAGATACCAATCTGGTTTTATTTCTCTTTATGTCTAAAGAACTCCTTTTAACATTGCTTGTACTGCAGATCTGCTGGTTGTGAATTATTTTGGCTTTTGTATATCTGACAAAGCCTTTATTTTACCTTCATTTAAAAAAATATCATTTTAGTTATAGATGAACATAATCTTTATTTATTTATTTTTATGTGGGGCTTTATTTTTTATATGGATCGAACCCAGCGCCTCAATGTGAGGGACAAGGGCTCTACCACTGAGCTACAGTCCCAGCCCAGAGATTTCCTGAATAGAGAATTCTAGAATGATAGTTTTCCCCAAATCCCAGTCTGAAATGCTGTTTTTCTATTGCCTTCTAGTTTGCATTGTTTCCAACAAGATGTCCATTGTTATTCTTATCTTTGCTTCTTTATACTGAATATATTTTTACACTAATTACTTTTAAGATCTTTATCACTGGCTTGAAGAATTTTATTATTCTTTGTTTTACTGTTGTTGTTTGTATTTATTGTTCTTTGGGTGTGTTGGGCTTCTTAGATGTCTGAATTTATAGTTTTCATTGAATTTTAGGGAAAAATTTCCACCATAATTTTTAAAAATATTTTCTTTGTCTTCTCTCTTTTTCTAGGATTATAATTACACTTATATTAGGCCATTTCAAATTGTATCACAGGTGACTGATTCTCCATTTTTTATTCATTCTTTTTTGTTTTTAATTTTCATTAGTTTCTCTTATTAACTCTTCAAGTTCACTAATCTTATTGTCTTAGCCATACATTATAAGAAATTTGATTTCTTTTCATTTAATAAATTACACTTAAATAAAATTTGAAACTTTTGCACATTTATTTCCATGATAAGATGATTGCTTTCCACTTACTTTACTTTTCATGTTATGCTTTATCTTGATGACATAAAATACAATTATAATTTTTTAAAATTTAATTAGATATTTATATTTGGTTCCTCCCTTTATACTTTCTCTTTAGTTGTGTTTTTAGTTTTTGTTTTGTTTTTGTTTTTGTTTAGTACAATTGTTTTTGTTTCTTTGGTCATGGACCTTTATACACATAGTGCTTTGATTGTAGACTTATCAATATTACCAAAAGATTTGAAGCTATGCCTTGGTAGTAGACAAGATTTCTCCAGGCATGGGAGAAGTCATAGTATTATGCTTTTCTGGAAGAGCCAGACTTGGGGAAACTTTGGTAGGTTGCTGAATATGTGTTTGTTTGGGGGGATTTAACGGTTGCTTGAAAAGTGTCCCTGACTATCATTCTCCATGGGGGACAGGCAATGTTCACCAGAATATATTATTCATATTGGTAGCATCATTGGAAGGAAAGAAACCCAAGAGAAAGGTAAATTTCAGGGACAAAGGAGTTGCTTGGTCAACTACATTTCCTAACTATAAGAGAAATATTTTATTTTAGAAATAAACTTTGGAGAAACAGTTTTATTTGTGTGGGCAAGGGAGGAATTTTCCAGACAAAGCTATCTTTTCCTTCCCTACCTGGCTCACCAACATATTCTCCATCTTGTCATGCAGCCTTGATTTCTAATAGTTAGCAATTAATGACTAAGAGACTAAAGAAAACTTAAGGATTTATTCATTCACATGAGCACCCTTAAGGACTAAGCTCTATTCTGTGCTTTAGGAATTAATACTTAAGATAGAGGGAGCTCTGTTGCAAACTGAGATCCTGTTCTGTGCTTTTAAACTGTAGAACTGTGTCTATAGTTTTTGTGTGTGTGTGTTGGAGGGGGGTGGGGGGAGAGAACTGGGTGTTGAACTCAGTGGCACTTGACCACTGAGTCACATCCCCAGCACTGAGTTGCTTAGTGCCTTGCTTTTGCTGAGGTTGGCTTTGAATCCTCTATCTTCCTGTCTCAGCCTCCTGAGCCACTGGGATTTCAGGTGTGTGCCACCACACCCAGCCTGTGTCTATAGATTTTTATAACAATATATATGTCTCCTCCCTTAGCCTGATATGGTTTTTTTAATGTACTATTCAAAGTTAAAACTTAATATGGTTGTTTTGGGAAAGTTTTAGCTATATATCCCAAGGTCAATGTATCAACTTAGAATCTGAAAAACAATGATTACATATTATTGAGAAAAATCTATAAAGTGTATATTTATTTGTCTATGAGTTAAAGTCAAGTTGAAATGACCATAAGACACATGTGCAAGTTGTGCTACCACAGTTTTTAAAACTAGACTTGGTTTACAAGATGTGCAATTTATATATTCCTAAACCAACATAATAATTATTTGAAAGTTGTATGTTCCTAATGTTTCTAAATGAGTCTAGTATTTAATTATTTCTACTTTATTCCAGAAAAGACATAGAGGAGGGCTAAAATGAGTAGATTTTATAAAAGTGTCCTCGAAGAAAGCACTATGTGAGATCTTTATTTTCTAATTACATTGATATTTAACTTTTAGACAAAAAGAGGATGATTACCTTCAGATCATCACAGATATCCAGAACTGTCCGTGGAAACGACAAGCAGAAGAATATGAAAATTTCAGGTAAAAGATTTTTCATAAATAATATGAGTAAAAAAATGTTCATTTGCTTTGTAGAAAAATAGGCAACAAGTTATTAAAACCAACAGTAGAAAGGGCCACCTGGTAATCAGGAGAATCGAATTCTAAGGCCCTCTTGTGAGGCACATGGCATTTCTGTCCACACTGCTTACTTAAAAGTTTTTAATTTTGATACTGGAATTAATTCCGAAAAAAATGCAAGTCCTAAAAAAAGTTTTCATTAATGCTTTTATTATATTTTAAATGATGATACTTCTTTGTACCCTTTTTTTTTAGTATGTGTTTATTTTATAAATAAAATATAATGGCATTAAGGAATGTTCAGCAAACGTACAGAGAAGAAAATCATCCATGATTCCTTTAATTAGAACAAAAGCTTTTTTGCTTTATGCATATTCTCCTCCAGTTTTTCATTGGCTTTTTAACACAAGTAACATTTAGGAGCATGAGTTCCTGTAAGTTGTAACTTACAGAGGAAGCATCAACCACAAAACTAGGTTACCAGTTTGCCATTAAAGAGCTATCATTCATGCTTGGAGAATTTGAAGTTGCACCCAGATTAAAATGCCATTTGTGAAAGCGATACGCCGTTGGAGTGCATGGATATTTATTTGTTACCCTTTCCTCCCCAAACCATACCTAGCACAGAGCTAGGTCAGTTGTCTGGGCTAGCCAGGTGTAAATTATTCTGGATTGTGTTTTGTTTTTCTGGTTCTCTTCTATGCATCCCACTCAGGTTTTGATCTGTGCTAAATTATTTTGTTATATTACAAGCCGGAGACTCATCTTCACTTTTTCACATTTTCAAGTTTAATTTAAGCAGTAAGCCTTAAAAGTCTTATTAATGGGACTTTGCTTTCTCTTAAAATATTCTCAGGAAATATCTGCTGCCTGCCTCTCTTCTGGGAAAGGCAGTGACTCTTCTGTTTCCTTGTGCTGTAGCCCAGCCTGTCCCCCTTCAGATGAACTGTCTCTGATTCCCCTGAGAATATAAGAGGGGTTCTGGTCAGCCCCTTTGGAGTTGAAGAGTAGCTTCCTGATTGGCTTGAAGCTAAATATGGGTATCTTCCCTCCACTGTACTAGAAAAATGGATGTCATGACTTCCTGTAGGATTCCATAAGCATTTAACCTGTCACTTCAGGGTGAAAGGCTAGAACAGAGATTCCTATTAAACTCTTTCACCTCCAGGATACTTTAGGTTACGTAGTCCTATTCAAGACTGGCTTCAATGTCCTGAAGAGGATCCAGATAGAAAGCTGTGCTCACAATCATAACCTGAATGATCACAGCATCAAGAGTGGCAGCAGAATCTGATTTTCAGAGACCTTTTCTCACATCTAAATGGGCAAGAAAGAAAGAGTTAAATATTGAGCTATTGAATCTCAATAATTAACTAAATAATTAACTAGAAAGCTAGATGAGTAGTGATGGCAATAATGAAAGCAGGGGTAAAGAAGCTTCTACTTCTGGCCAGGCGCAGGGGCAGACACCTGTAATCCCAGTGGCTCAGGAGGCTGAGGCAGGAGTATTGTGAGTTCAAAGCCACCTTCAGCAAAAGTGAGGCACTAAGCAACTCAGTGAGACCCTGTCTCTAAATAAACTACAAAATAGGGCTGGGGATGTGGCTCAGTGGTTGAGTGCCCCCGAGTTCAATCTCTAGAACCAAAAAATAAATAACTAAATAAAAATAAAAAGAAGCTTCTACTTCTGGCTGTCAAGTCGGTTCACACCAAGCCTCAGGAGGGTAATGCAAACAAAACAAAGAGCACCAGATACCTGTTTAAGGGTGTTAGAAAACTACTGGACCAGGGGGAATTTACAGGAAGAGGGAGCTGAGTGGCATTTGGGGCTGCTTTTTCTCAGAAGGGACTTGCTGAATGTAAAATGATGAGAGCTTGAGAAGCTGAGCAGAGCTTCCAGAAATCCCTGGAAAAGACCAGCTCTCCAAAGAACTGATGCCCGAATTCAAATCATTGCCATCCTCAGCTGGATTTAGGAGATCTGCCCTTAGCCTAGATAACAAATAGAAGCAAAAGTAAATCCTCTCTGGAAGAAGGTAATATTATTCAGAGCTTTAAATTATCTCTGCAAGTTTTCTCACACAATGTCTGGCTCAATTAAAATTAAAAAATTTTTTTCCTTTTAGAGATTTAAAGGTTTCTTTTTTTCTTTCTTCCCTTCCATTTTTTTCTTTTGAAACAAAAATTGGCAGTCACTTTAAATCCAAAACTGCATGAGCATCCTTGCTGCAAATTATGATAGATAGCAGCTACGTGATTGATGGTACATTTTCTCCTTAGTACCATCTCAGTATAAAAAGCACATCAGTAACCATGACAATTACCCAATGGTCTATCCATCCCTTCAGGGACAATTTAAGTAAACATCTGGAACTATACCACTTATGGTGTGTTCTTATTCTAGAGAACAGTTACGGTGACATTTACGTATTTACTTGAGTCTATATTACATTATAATGTTTACATTATGGACATATTTGTAAGCTGAATTGTATAAACCCTCAATAGGAATCTGTGAAATCAAATCCCAATTAACCATCCACTCTTAATTTTTGCCTAACATACTTGGCCAAATCTGAGTCTCTACCTATTTATAAAACCAGCATTGTAGAAACATCCCCTATTATTATAGATGTCAAGTAACTAAATAGTTATCCATTTTATTTATTTGTAGCATTTTATGTCAAATTGAAGGAAAGCAAAATGTTCCTTAAAAAGGTAATAATATTCTTGTATCAGCCATTACAAAAGTTATATTGAATTCTGAAGAATATGAGTAAGAGAATATATTCTAAATCCATCTGCAACACAATTGTTGAAACTTCCTATAATTGATACCCACAGACTCTGAAAATCATGAGACTCCTATGGTCAAGGGATCTAAAAATAAGAAAGCTTGAAAGTCATTTTTCTGAAATAAGTATGCTACTTGCCAGAAAATGGGGGCAAAATTTATTCATCAAGCAAATATTTGTTGAGCGTTTTCTATATCAAGCACTCTAGACCCCTTTAGTATTGATAAAATGCTGGGTACAAATCATGGCCTCAAGAAATAGTTGTTAAATAATTGGATACATGAAAGTAAACAAGGAAAACAGAAGGTTTCTTTACTGACCTCAAAGAATTTACAGTCAGTTTGGAAAACAAGAAAAAAGAATACAAATATGTATGATTTAATGTCAAAATGAATGCTTTATGATATATACTATGATATATCGGTATAAGTCTCATTTCTGGAAACATTTTGTAGAAAGAGAACTATAAGTCTGAGGATGGACAGAAAGGGAGAGAGAGACCAATTTAGAAATGATAGGGCCAGGAAGAGTGGCCAGTTAGTTTCAAGGCCAGCTTGGGTGAGTACAAATTTGTACTACGGGGTGCTTGTAGATAGATGGGGGATGGCCTGGTAATGCCTGGAGCTTTGATTATCAGAATAAAATCCGCAGACCTTCTGTAGATAACAGGAACCCAGGAGAGATACTCCTACTAAGGAAACTGCATGACAAATTTATTGTTTCAGGGGAAATACTGGGTCATATAACATTGTGTGAACTGGAGTGTGAGTGGGTTGGAGGAGTCAGAGCAGTTAGGGGCTGGTTGCAGAAGAGTGATCATAGGAAAACAAGACTGGAACATTAGTAGTAGCTATGAAACTATCAAGGAAGAGCCACATGACAATGACCCCTGGGGATGGCTGGTGTTATTTGTCTTGTATTTCCTGTGCCCATCACATAGGCAGTACCCAACCAATAGCTGCAAGACTGGGTTACTTACTGACTTTCAGTTCTCTTAATTGAAGGAGAAGAAATTAAAGTGAGGGCTGGTGATATAGCTCAGTTGGTAGAGTACTTGCCTTGCACGCACAAGGCCCTGGGTTCAATCCCCAGCACCACACAGGTAAAAATAAGTAAATGAAGTCAAATGGGAAGTTTTGGATCTGGTTGATTGGTATAATCATAGTGCTACAGACAGAAAGATTTCAAGGGGTAAATGGTTTGGGGGAAGATGAGCCCATTCTGGATAGGGTGTATCTGAGCTGAGTTGAAGCAACTGGGTATAGAAGACCTTGCCATGGTCTGGGGAAAACATGAATGCTAAGAGAACCTGCCTCTCCCCCAAAAGAAAAGAATTACAATTTAAAACTGACTTATGTACAAATATGGCCACTGAACTCTATAATCAGCAAGTTTCTTTTGTGCCAAAGGAGCTCATCTTCTTTTCAGAGATTCCTGAGTTCATTCAGTACTTACCTAGAAGTAAGAGAACTTTGTGCCTGAGAACTTTGAAGCCTGGTTGCATTTCTACCTTCTTACCTGGTTGCCTTTACCTGAATCATGAGAGGTTTAAATGAAAGTCTTTTGTTTTTTGGTACTGGGGATTGAACCTAGGGGTGTTTAACCTCTAAGTCATATTCCCAGTCCTCCCACCCTTTTTAAAAATTTGAGACAGACTAAGTTGCTTAGAGCCTCTCTAAATTGCTGACGCTGGCGTTGAACTTGCAGTCCTCCTGCCTTAGCCTCCTGAGTTGCTGGGATTATATAGATATGCCCACCATACCCAGCAAAAGGTTCTTAATCCGAAGTCCACGTTAGCAATTTTATAAAGCCTTCAAAATTGTGTGAGAAATTTTGAACATGTTCCTGAGAAAAGGATCCACAACTTTCATCAGATTCTCAAGAAGTCTAGGATGCCCCAAATGACTAAAATATTTCTAGGAATTCTTCTGGATTTGAGGTTCTGGTGGTGTTGGGATTTGATTACTTATTTCACCTTCCAAGTAGGCATTAGCCTAGACATTGATCTGCCTTCTATTCCTCCCTCCCCTTTAGATATTCTGGTTCTGAATTTGTGTGTTGGTTTTTTTTTGTTTGTTTGTTTTGTTTTTGTTTTTGTTTTGGTGAGATCCCATTGAACCTAGTTAAAGAGGATTTTAAGTAAAAGTTGAAAACGTCCTACCCATT